GCTTTCTGGTCTTCTCTTTGATAGTTCTTCCATTTCAATCATCGCAGAATTATGGTTGCAGCTCTTGACACATTTTTCTTCTGTGTGTTGAACTCTACAGAGGCCAATAAGTATTTTGTGGAGTTCATATCTAAAGCATACCAGGCTTTGACTGATCCAGTATCCCGTGAAAACTTTGAGAAGTATGGTCATCCAGATGGCAGACAGGTATTGATATATCTCATTTTTCCTATCTCATTGACAAGCCTTTTGAAACTAAAATATTGTAATCTGATGCAGGGCTTTCAAATGGGCATTGCTCTTCCTCAATTTCTCCTAGACATAGATGGAGCATCCGGTGGCATATTATTGCTGTGGATAGTTGGTGTTTGTATTCTCTTGCCCCTTGTGATTGCTGTTATATATCTCTCGAGGTCATCAAAGTATAGCGGGAACTACGTTATGCATCAAACTCTCTCCACATATTATTATCTTATGAAACCCTCTTTGGCCCCAAGGTATATTCACTCATAACCATATACTTCTGAGTGATGCTATAGGTGCAAGAAAAATAGACTGTGTTTTCGTTTGTTTGTATGACATTACATTTTCATTGTCCAGCAAAGTTATGGAAGTTTTCACGAAGGCAGCTGAGTACATCGAGATGCCAGTTCGTAGAATTGATGATGAACCTCTGCATAAGCTCTTTATGTCTGTCAGGAGTGAGCTAAATTTGGACCTGAAGAATATGAAGCAAGAGCAGGCTAAGTTTTGGAAACAGCATCCTGCCATAGCAAAGGTGATATTTTGAGTTATGAAACTTCACACTAAATATTGTTAAACTGAACTACTCACTTTTTGTTTACAGACAGAGCTATTAATACAAGCCCAGTTGACTCGTGAATCAGCAATCTTGTCTCCAACCCTGGAGGCTGATTTCAGGCGTGTGCTAGAGCTTGCACCTCGCCTCCTTGAAGAGTTATTGAAGGTATATACTCTATTTTAATATCACATCGTCTGATAGAATAACCATCAAATCTCGATGACCTGAAAGTCCCACTATTTTAGAAGAGATAAACTTCCTCTACAGAAGGGAAAAGTCAAAGGTTAACATGTCAAAGGGAAGCCCTTCTGGGACCAACTAGCTCGTCCAATCATTTATTTGATTATCTTGCTTGTGTAAATATTATATGTTTTTGGTCTCATTGTTAAAATAGTTGTTATCTTAACCACTCCGCCGTTATAATATGCTAAGTTTCCTGCAGATGGCGGTTCTACCACGGACTTCCCAAGGGCATGGATGGCTGAGACCTGCAGTAGGAGTAGTTGAGCTATCTCAATGCATTGTTCAGGTATGAAATTGTTCTGATCACCTATCTTCCAAGTTTTATCTTGTGTGAGCTTTCAGTTATGTATGTCTTTTCCCCACAAGATTTACTTCTTCCGGAAAGTTAAGAAGTGGCTTAAGGTGGTTGTTTAGGTAGAAAAACTAAAATTTCAAAATTGCAGGCTGTTCCCCTTAGTGCAAGGAAGTCTTCTGGAGTCTCTTCAGAAGGAAATTCCCCTTTCTTACAGCTCCCTCATTTCAGTGACGCTGTCGTTAAAAAGATAGCACGGAAGGTATACTAGTACTATCAAATGTGTCAAATGCAGTAAAAATATAAGTTTTTCGGATTCTGCTCTCCAATAAGTAGTAGTGTCGCTGGGTTTACTTAAATGTCTGTTCAAAAGAAACATGCAACCATTTTAGTTTATAGTTCACCGTATCTATTGTCCTGCTAAGCGAGCCATTGTTTGTCCTATTTTCAGAAGGTTAAGTCGTTCCAGGACCTTCAAGAAATGAGCTTGGAAGACCGTTCTGAACTGCTCACCCAGGTAGCGGGTTTGTCAGCAACTGATGTTGAGGACATTGAGAAGGTGCTAGAGATGATGCCGTCTCTGACAGTCGACATAACATTTGAAACAGAAGGCGAGGAGGGTATCCAAGAGGGAGACATCGTGACCCTTCAAGCTTGGGTCACCCTGAAACGACCCAATGGGCTCGTAGGCGCTCTTCCTCATGCACCATACTTCCCGTTCCACAAGGAGGAAAACTACTGGGTCCTCCTTGCGGATACAGTGTCGAACAACGTCTGGTTCTCTCAGAAGGTTAGCTTCATGGACGAAGGTGGAGCCATAACGGCTGCATCGAAAACCATCAGTGATGCAATGGAAGGTTCGGGAGCAGGGGTGAAGGAAACAAGCAATGCAGTGAGAGAAGCCATTGAGAAGGTTAAAGGCGGTTCAAGACTGGTAATGGGTAAACTCCAAGCACCCGCAGAGGGTACATACAACTTGACTTGCTTCTGCCTGTGCGACTCATGGATCGGGTGTGACACAAAGACATCACTGAAAGTCAAAGTCCTGAAAAAAACCAGGGCTGGGACTCGTGGTTTTGTATCAGATGAGGGTGCAATTGCAGAAGAAGGTAT